TGGAACACAACAAATCTTGTATAAAGATAATGTTTGTAGTTATGTGGGAGTCAACTTTTCTAGAGAGAGCTTATCAAGATAAAAAATTAGGTGCCCCTTCTTTCTCCTTCTATTCCTACTTATATGGGATATTCCCCTTACCTACTGAAAGTACAAATACAGAGAATATTCTTTAGAAATATCTTATTGCTAAACTAGCCGTTTTGGCCGATCTGAGTGCTGGACCTCGACATTCGCTGCTCGGCTCGCCAGTGTTGCTTCTTAAGCATGACCTCGGCCTAATTGATTCTTGATTTCCTTATTTCAGGCGAGGTCGTTTTGATTAGATTTTGACCCATACACTTCTATGTCTTCACTCTTCACCTTAATAAAAAATGTCTTCTAAGTGGATGAGAAAAAAAAAACTTAGGTAAAAGCCAAACAGAGAAACGAACGCTTGGGACTAATGTTGCATTTGTAAACGAAAATGACAATTATGTGACCTCAACGCGAGTTACATTTGTCAATTAAAATCATAGTAAGCAGTGGCGGAGTCAGAAATTTTATCAAGGGGGTCAAAATATAAAGAAATAAACTCATCAAGAAGTCAAGGGGTGTCAATACACAATATATATACATATTTTATAAAAATTACCTAACTACGCAATGTAATTATCCGACAAAGAGGTGTCGGTTGACACCGGTTAAGTGCGTAATGTCATAGGAAGTGGAAGTTATGTTTGATTACATATTTAGCATCTCAAATGTAATGCCACATAATCTGTCCAAGCGTTTATCATAATATATACCGGAAATCTCTTCACTGAAGCATATCACAGAAAACAAATATTTTGTGGATAGTGGATACCAAACGAAATTTCTGCCCTTCTTGTAATTATGGGGTATTACAGTTGTGTGACATCTCAGAGCGACTTTCAGACGGCCATGGACGGTTTACTACTTAACTACGGGATATTACAATTATGTAACATTTCTGAATGACTTTCAAAGGGCCAACTGAATGGTTAAGTACTGGTTCTATAAGCTTTAGAAGTATTGAGATGGATTTGTTTGGAAAATTGTGGAAAACCTTTTCAAAGCTTTAATTTTCCAAAATTTTCTCTCTTTGTTTTTGAATATGTAGATACGGTTGAAAAAATATATAACTTGAAAAAAAATTGAAGATAGAACTTAAAAACGTTAGCCCAGATGTGCCTCCGGCCCAACCTGACAAAGGAAAACAACAGGCCCATTAAGAGAGCCGGCCCAGTTTTCAGTTTTCTTGTACTCCTTGTTATTTAAGACTATAGATATTTTTCTTACTTTTGAGTTCAATTAAGAATATGTATATGCAGGCCCACATGGAGAAGCAATAAAGCAAATTGGTCAAAACAAAAGGGACCGACTAATATCTCATTTCATTTTCTCTCTTATTGTCTCTTTCATCTAGGGCTGAATTCTCCATGAATCCTTCATAGCTCGTACATAATTCATGTTAACATGGTATCAGGGCGGAAATCTCGATTCCTGTAGCTATAGGATCTACTCTAATGGTATTTTCTTCAAAAATACTGCCAATTTTGGTACTCGTTCGATATTCGCAACGGAACTAAATATCTTCGATTTTAGCCGATGAAAATTAGGGATTTCTTCATCTCTGACTTCAGACAGCTTGTTACGACAGAAATTTTCGATTGCTCAAGGTTGTACGGTGATTTCGTGGCTCCAATGGTTTCTAGGGTTTGCATGTTCTCGAGACCTTGCTTCTTTGTTTTCTAGAAGAAGGCTGGTAACATCCTTCTGGTCTATATTCTTCGAGTTTCTGTAGATTTTACTTTGCACGCAACCAGTGTTTTGTCAACATATGATTTTCCTAAAAATTTAGAGTAAATCTATTCGTTTCCTCTAGATTTTGTTATTGCTGTATTTTATACTATGGATAGCTTAACGGATAATGTCGAATCTTCGACTACTACCCACGGTTTTGTCCCATTTACCCTAGATCCCTCGCATCCTTTCTATATCCATCCATCTGACAATCCTGGCAGTCAATTAGTGTCTGTACCGTTCAATAGGTATGGTTTTTCTCTTTGGCGTAGTAGTATGCTCACTTCTCTTTCTGCAAAGAATAAGCTTAGTATTTCGATGGGAGAGTTCCACAACCCTCCCTTAAATCACCTTATTTTCCATATTGAGAACGGTGTAATGATATGGTGAAAGCCTGGATAACAAACTCTGTATCCAGGGACATAGCCACTAGTGTTATGTGCTTCAAGACTGCCAAAGAAGTTTGGAAGGACATTAATGAGAGATTTGGCCGGCCGAATGGGTCTAAATACATCCAAATCTAGAGGGATATCAGCTCAACTACTCAGGGTTCATCTGATAGAGCTTCCTACTTTACAAAAATGAGGAGTTTATGGGATGAATTAAACTCCTCCTATGTCGGACCTGTTTGCTCATGTGGAGCCCTACCTAAGTTCATTGAAGATCAACAATTGTTTCAGTTCCTCAATGGTCTGAATGATTCCTATTCCACAGTTAAAAGTGCTATTATGTTGATGAACCCCCCACCCATTAGTAAAGCCTACTCCCTTTTGCTACAAGATGAAAGCCAAAAGGAAGCCCAATCTCCTGCACCAAATTTCTCTGGTTATACAGCCTCTTTCTTAGTCTCTCTGCATCTTCCAACACCTATAGGAATTTCACTCAGAAAATCAATTTTGAGACTAGGAAGGGTACTACATCTCTTACTTGCAAGTATTGCAAGAAACCTGGTCACAGTGTGGATAAATGCTACAAACTCCATGGATTTCCACCAGATTTCAAATTTACCAAAAACAAGAAGTCCGCTTCATGTGTTCAAGCTGAGAATGCAACTATTGCCCCTACAAAATCTCTTCCACAGACTGCTGGCTCCTCAGCACATGGGTTCACCAAAGAACAATACCAATATCTTTTGACTCTGTTTCAACAAGCACAAATGTCTGTTGGTCATACTTCTGAAGCTGCAAATGTGGACAACTCTGCCTTTGCTCACTTTGCAAGTTTGTTTAGTAGATATGCTATAGATCCTGTTGATTCTCATGCATGTGCATCATCATAATCAGGTGTAAACCCTTGGATCCTAGATACTAGTGCAACTAATCACATTACACCACATAAACATCTTCTGTTCATTGTGCAACCTTTGATTAAACCTTTTCTAGTAACTTTACCTAATGGATATAAAGTTAAAGTTGTATCAACTGGATCTTTGCATCTTAGGAATGATATAATTTTACTGAATGTCCTCCTTGTACCATCTTTCCATTTTAATTTGATATCTGTCCATCAACTTATATCTCAATTGGATTTTCCAGCACTCTTTACCAAATTATTCTGTTCTTTATAGGGCCCTTCTCTGACGAGGCCACTGGAAATTGGTAAGGCTGCTGGGAGGCTCTACTACCTCTATCCAGATGCAGACATGTTCCCTACTTTCTACACTCGTATGTCTTATTGTTCTCCTTGTAATAGTTTACCTGTTTCTAATTCGGATACTAGTGTTTCTACTTGTAATCAATCTTCTATACTTGTTTCATTACCAGTATCTTCTGATAAGTCCAATCAACTTACTCATCCTGTTGCCAATGTTCAACTTGTAATCTGCCATCTTCTATCAATAAAATAGACTTATTTTGGCACCAAATACTAGGGCACATGCCTTTTAATAAAATGAGATCTATATCATATTTGTCTGATAAAGTATCACCTAAACAGTCTTTTCTATGCCCTATATGTCTAATGGCCAGACAACAGAGATTACCTTTCTCTAATAGTGTTATACACTCTGCTGCTCCTTTCCAGTTAATTCACATTAATATTTGGGGTCCAAATAACACTAAAACATATAATGGTTTCAGATATTTTCTAACACTAGTTGATGATCATACAAGAGTCACTTGGACTCATCTTTTATCATGTAAGAGCAATGCCTTATCTATCTTAAAGCATTTGTCAACATGGTTAGGGTACAATTTTAGTTATCTATTCAAGCTTTTAGATCTGATAATGCTTTTGAACTTGGTAGTAGTTCTGAGGCCATTATGTTCTTCTTTAGCCAAGGAATCTTAATCAAACTACAATCCCTCACACTCCTCAATAGAATGGAGTTGTACAAAGAAAACACAAGCATTTATTGGAAGTTTCTAGGGCCCTCATGTTCCAATCTAACCGTCCTCTCAAATATTAGGGTGATTGTGTGTTGACTGCAACCTACCTCATAAACAGGATGTCCTCAGCTGTACTTCAGAATGTTTCTCCTTATGAGAAACTTCATCATACTCCAACCTATGATCATCTAAAATCTTTTGGCTGCTCGTGCTTTGCCACTTCTCCTAAAGCTGGTAGGGATAAGTTTCAATCCAGGTCTATCCCTGTGGTAAAAAGGGCTATAAACTCCTCAACCTTGACAATCATGTCATATTTTTCTCAAGGGATGTAGTGTTTCATGAGCATGTTTCCCTTATAATTGCTCTTCTCCTTCCATGTTTCCTTCTCCCTCAGACTTTATGGATCCTGTTTCTCCACAAACTTCTGTTTCTGCTCCTAATTCTGCTCCTAATTCTCCTAACATTCCTACTTCCCCTCACACTCCTTTTCCCAATACTTATCGTCTTCCTAGTACTGCCAGTCCCAACAATCCTTCTCCTAACACTTCACTTTCTGATTCCACTAGTCCTACTTCTATTTCTCCAATTGAACCTACATATCCTTCTCCTCCTCCTTTGAGGAAATCTACCAGAACTATACAAAAGAACACCTGTCTTAAGGGTTACCTTTGTTCTTCTGCTCAACTCTCCTCTTCCAATGTTTCCTCTAGTGATATACATGGGCATGAGCCTCAATCCTACTAGCAGGCAGCTTCACAACCTGCATGGCAAGAGGCAATGCTAAAGAAATTTCAGGCACTTGAGGCAAACCGGACTTGGGATATTGTACCTCTCCTACCTCACAAGAAGACTATCCCTTGTAAGTAGATGTATAAGATTAAACACAGAGCTGATGGCTCTATTGAGAGGTACAAAGCCAGGTTGGTGATTAGAGAGGACACACAAAAGGAGGGCATTGACTTTACTGAAACCTTCTCTCTTGTTGTCAAGTTCACCACCATCAAGTGTTTGCTCACTCTTGCTGTTTAGTGGGGGTGGACTGTCTTCCAGATTGATGTCAACAATACTTTTCCCCATGGTGATCTCCATGAGGAGGTTTATATGAAGGTTCCTCCTGGCCTTGAGGTGTGTCATTCTCCTGGTTCTCATTTTGGTCCCTTGGTCTGCAGACTCAAGAAGTCAATTTATGGCCTTAGGAAGGCCTCCAGACAGTGATTTTCAAAGCTGTCTAAAGCTCTTCATTCCAAAGGCTACATTGGTAGTTTGAATGAGTACTGCATATTCACTAAGTATTCTTCGGGCTCTCAAGTTGTCTTGGCTGTCTATGTTGATGATATCCTACTAGCTGGTAATGATGTTGTGGAGATGGAGTCTTTATAGTCCTTTCTAGATGCACAGTTTAAAATAAAGGACTTGGTGTTAGTCCACTACTTCCTAGGTTTGGAAATCTCCTCACATCCTCAAGGTTACATCATGAGCCAACACAAGTTCACCAGTGATCTTCTCTCTGAATTTAATTGCCATCACTTCTCCCCTGTGATGACTCCCTTGGATCCTTCTGTTAAGCTTGCTTTGAATATGGATGCTCCTGACCCCAGCTTGTACAGAAGATTAATTGGGAAGCTCAACTTCCTTCAACACACTAGGCCTGATATTTCGTTCACAGTACAACATCTGAGTCAATTCCTCCAAAAGCCACAAGTGCCTGATATGCTAGCTGCTATACATGCACTCAGATATTTGTTGAATGACCCTGCCCAAGGTATCCTCCTCTCCAGCTCTTTTGATTTCTCTTTGCAAGCCTACTCTGACTCTGATTGGGCAACCTGCTCTATCTCTCGCAAGTCAGTGATTGGCTATTACATCACTCTTGGTGGCAGTCCTGTTTCTTGGAAGAGCAAGAAACAACCCACTATATCTCTCTCTTCAGTAGAAGCTGAGTACAAGGCTCTTCGCAAAGTTACAGCTGAAGTCACTTGGCTAACTAGACTTTTGGGTGACCGTGGTTTGACTGTGTCAAGCCCTGTTCCCATATGTTGTGACAGCCAGGCAGCTATACACATTGCTAAAAATCCGATTTTCCATGAGCGCACGAAGCACATTGAAATTGATTGTCATTATGTGCGCACTTGCCTATCTTCTGGTTTGATTTCCTTGCAGTATGTCTCCGCTGCATAACAACTAGCTGATATTATGACTAAGGCCCTTTCTGGTCTTCTACATCATGGGATTTTATGCAAGCTTGGTGTGTTCTCACCCTCCAGCTTAAGGGGGGGTGTTAGCCCAGATGTGCCTCCGGCCCAAGCTAACAAAGGAAAACAACAGGCCCATTAAGAGAGTCGGCCCAGTTTTCAGTTTTGTTGTACTCCTTGTATTTTAAGACTAGAGATATTTTTCTTACTTTTGAGTTCAATTAAGAATATGTATATACAGGTCCACATGGACAAGAAATAAAGCAGATTGGTCAAAACAAAAAGGATCGACTCATTTCTCATTTCATTTTCTCTCTTTTTTCTCTTTCATCTAGGGTTAAGTTCTCCATGAATCCTTCATAGCTCGTACTTTATTCAGGTTAACAAAAATTGGTTTCATTATTTTCCAAAGTTCAAATTTTTCTCAATTCTGCATATTTCTCAACTTTTAGTCAGTTCTTGAACCAAACACAAGTTTGCATTTTTTTTTGTGAAGCAAGAAGTAGGATTTTTTTCTTATTCTTAACACAAACAATAAGTTTCCAATTCGAGTGGTTTTATATGAAACTGAGTTTATGAAAATTGACATTATTACGTGTTTATGACCTCAACAAAAAGAGTAGTGGAGGCAATGATGCTTTCTTGGGGCTACTTAAATGATGACACCTTGCTTAATGATGAAACTAACAATTGCTTATCTGGAATGTCGAAATTTGCCTCCTATAGTATAGAATATATGCTACTATTACCTCATTAGCATATTCATCCTCTTTATTGTTACTTTTAAGCTGGAAACAATGGAATCACAATTTTTTTTTCCACTAATGCTTGCATTAGGGCAGGTTGTCTACATCAACCCTTTATGATGTCATCATTTTTTGGATTCTGCGTGAACGCAGGATGCCTCGTGCGCGAGCTGTGCTCTACCCTCTCTTCAGGACATTCAGTTGTAAGATGAATAGTTGAATATGTAAATAATATGTGTATGAGTGCGTAGTCCGCTCCAATAATGATAGTATGATACTAAGTGGGATTTTCAACAATCCTTACTGTACAGCCATAATCATCTAGCTTCCAAGTGAACTATGGACCATACTCCATAGGATTTTACATTTACATTATAAACAAAATCACAAAAACTCATATATCATGAAAACAACAGATTCTCTCTCTAGGCCTAAGAGAAAATTCAATCAACGATTAAAGAAGAAATAAAATGGCACACCAAAGTTACAAACTTTATGCATATTAGCTTGTTATAAGACCATTGGATCGGATAGGACACTTCTGTTTCAATAGTATTCTTAGCTGAGCCTTTTGACACTCCAACTTTGTACCCCAATGTCTGCTTTTAGAACTAATGGCTCGAACCACCTTTGGAAATTCCACAAATCCTTTGATCCCTCGTTTGATATGAGGATTTTCAGCCTCAGGTGAATGGTTTCTTCTATGAATTGTCACTTGGTAATTAAAAGAAGCACTCTTTCCCTCACTTGCACTATTGAAAATGGACTTATGATCAGCTATTTCACTCCTTTTCTCTGTTTCTTGATCACATGCAGCTGATGAGATGTTATGGTTCATGTCTTGTTGAATTTTGGCTTCAGTCTTGGCATTTGATGGCAACATTTTCTTGGTTTCTTCCAATTCTAACAACTTCTCTTCCAATAAAAATTTAGCATCATTAAGCTTCATTTGAACCCTTTCCTCTCTCATAACCTCAGCCATTCTCAGCATTTTCCTCTCTTCTTCCGTTTCTTTCCTCAATCGACTGATCTCTGCTCTATCGGACGATATATGATTGGCAAGTTCTTCGCAGACTCTCTCCAATGCTTCTCTCCCTTTTCTCTCTTCAGATAGCTCTCTTGCAATCTTCTTGTTCATTGATTCCAACTTCTTACGTGCCTTTCGCTCATGTTCTAACTTAGCCTTCAATTCAGCGATTTGGGCTCGAGCAATTTCAAGTTCAGAATCCATGAAAGGTCTAATAAAGGTAAGATCCCAAAAAGATGCTGCAATTTTCCTAGCAGATATGGGGAGGTTTAGTCGATGAATTTGCTTATTGTTGTGACTTTTGAGTAGAGTGTGGTTGGTTTCTTCTTGATGTGGAATTGTGGGGTTGTGAGGTTGGTTTTGTGAATTATAGAAGGGGTTCTCGTACAGTTTCCAGGTTGGACATATACAAGTAGGGATAATGTGATCATCTGAGATAGCAAAAGACTTATTTCTGGGATTTTCTTGGTTTCTGATCATCATCATCTTCTCTTCCAGTTGGGAGTGTATTTTAGCCTTTTAGTAGAAGGTGGGGAGTTTCTTGCTTTTCTATATCACCTTTGCTGCTGTGCACTGCTTGCTTTTTCTAATCCATTGGGCTAACTTTCTTGCTTTTGCTTTATTACAAGCTTTTAAGATAATAGAAGTAGGGTCATGATGTTCTATCTTCTTGCCCTTTCAGCTGCTAAAAATTGTAAAAAGTGGAAAAAGATGTTCAACCTCACATGTACCTCTGATATTTAATGTATTGTGGTGCCTCTGCTATCTTAAGATCTTCGTGCCCTATGTTTTTTATTAGTGGTACTGATATTGTCTCTTTTCGTCTTCTTGAGCTGAGGGTCTTTCGGAAACAAAGGGGTAAGGTCTGCGTACACACTACCCTTCCCAAACTTCACTAATAAATTTTACTGGTTCGTTGTTTTTATTATTGTGGTGCCCAATTTTCTCACTTAGTCGTTCTCTCTCCCCCCACCCCCCACCCCCACATCACTCTTTCACTCTCTACCGGTTGTACTATATTTTCTTGATCATATTGTAAATTGAAATGATTTTAATATTTTCATACATAGCTTGTGACAAGGAATTTGGTGGTAACAAGTTGTGATGTCTCTTAGTTAGTAACGGAGTAAAAGAGACTGCATCTTCCAAGAACCATAGGATGCTTCGCTTTGACGATACTATTAAAGCAATGATTTACGTGATTTGCAATCATGTTTCATTATTTAAACAAATCTGCCTCTAAACTGTAATTGCGTTAGTATTACAAAACACAACCAGTTACAAAAGAGAACACTCTTATTAGTATAAAAAGCTATAATATCATACCTTTGGTCCTTAGGTAGACGATCATAGATAGTTATTTATGCGATCGTGGTGAAACTATGAATTTCTCTAAGTGTGGTTCTTAAAAAGAAACAGTTCGAGAAGGTTCAATTGGCCGAAATGAATTTCTAGATTCGCAGATTTGGCGTTCAAACTTGAAAGAAATAAAAAAAAAAAAATCCGACAAAGGGTGTTCAATGTATGTTATATACTTTTAAAACCTAATATTTATGTATACGTCAGTATAATTTTTTGACGAATGATGGTCAGTTGACCATCCTTTAAAAAATGTAGTTTTGCCCCTGCGTGCGAGATGGATAAAGGACCAATTTTATCTTTGATCAAATGGGCATGGAGGGCAATTTTGTCTATACAACTCAGGATGCTCTGTCCTATGGAGCTTTTAGCGAGTAAAGGGTAAAGTCATATGGTTATAGTGATAGAGCTAGGTTTGAGGGGTCCAAATAGTTGTCTAATGATTGTACAAATTTTCCACATGGATGGTCTCCCTTTGTGTCTATGTCGTCTTCCTTCATTAGCGTGATTTAGCACTTTGTTCAATCACCAATATTTAGGCAATAAACTTGTTAGCATGTGCAGGGCCGTGGTGATGTATTTTGCAAGAATTCTTGTCCAGAACGCAGCAACTTTGTGGAGGGGTAAGGGATTAGTCCAGCAGAAATACCCGTGATACAATGCACATGGAGTTAGATTTGGATCGCTAAAACTTAACCACATATCAAAAGAGAGTAGCATAGTAACAATCAGTGGCGGAGAAATGATTTCTGCTAAGATTTTGATGGCCCATGGGAATTGAACTAGTAACCTCACAAAGATTTTGATCCCCTTGACCACCAGGCTATGCTTTTAGGCTATGCTAAGAGAATTCCAAACATCTATATTATATTAGAAGGAGAGTAGTGAAGCATGTGGTTAAGCCAAGTGGCAAGCTAAAAAGAAGCCACTTGGAAATTTTAAGACAACATTAAAAATTTGAATTATAAATGGAAACATAATTAATGTAAGTAGTTTAATAAATCTTATACTCAATCTAAATAAATCTTAGACAAATCTAATCTATATATCTACATTTATATTTATATTTATATGTATATTTGTAGATATATCTCTATTTATATCTATATTGATCCACCCATAGATATTTTTTCTATGTTAGCTAGAAATATGGAGGTAAAAAATTAACTAAAAATTATAATAGAAAAAAATAAAAAATATATAGAAAGACGTAGATTTAGATAAGGTAAGAAAAAACATAAATAATTAGTACAAAATATTTTAATAACAAGAATAATAATAATGTCATATTAATATTGATAAATCGGACAAACGAATATTTTATACGTAAATATTACTACAACATTCAGATATAATGGGTTCAAACAATTAAGAAAATATTTTTTTGTGATTAATATTTGAATTGGGTGTAGTTAGTTTAAGTTTGAAAGCATAACATAATTTTTTGAAAATGCAGTCAAATTTAGAAAATAGAATAATAAAACTTGAATTTTGAGAAAGTTTTTAAAAATTTTGTCTATATTATATTAGAATGAGTGTGGTATAAATAGATATTAAATTCAAACAAGCTAATAAAAATCCACATGACAATGTTAACAAATATTAAGTATTGAATAATATAATATCAAAAATAAAAAATAAATAGAGAATTTTTTAGATATTTTATCATAGAAAAAAACGATAAAACTTATTTAAATTTGAGATGAGAAAGTTTTTTATATTATGATAAGAAATGTCATGATATGAATAGGTCCACGTAACTCAAGCACATAATAGATAAAATCAAAAACTAAAAATATTGAAATATAGAAAAATAAATTAGAGATAATGTGAGGATATTTATAAATCATAAGT